CGGATGCATATAGAATGGAACATATATTGAGGAGATATAGATACACACATACAGAGAGCATGAACAGGTGGGAGTTGTCTTACCAACTCTGAGAGGCCAATTAATTAAGAGGAAAAAAACTTTTGAAGTGATAATCAAGATAGCCCAGTACAGACAGTTTGATAAGAAGTGTGAGCATACTTACAAGGGGAGATAGATTCAATGTTTGTAATGGCTCAGCCATTCCCAGTCCTTATTCAAACCGGACAAAACTTGGACATGGTGAAACAGTGGTGGGAACAAGCCTGAGAACAAAGTGCATCAGTGGCTACTAAACCAAGAGTCTCAGTGTGACTTTGTGAACCTAGCAGTGGCAGAAGTCAAGGGGGCCCTGCTGCACTCTGCTACAATGACCTATGAGGGGAGATTGAAAAAATTGGGTTTGTTTAGTCTGGAGAGGAGAAGACTATGGAGGGACATGATCACAGTTTTCAAGTACATAAAAGGTTGCTACAAGAAGGAGGGAGAAATATTGTTCTCCTTAACCTCTGAGGATAGGACAAGAAGCCTTGGGCTTAAACGCAGTAAGGCCAGTTTAGGTTGGACATTAACCACTCTGATAAGTTTTTCCTGAACATTGAATTAAATTACCTAGGGAGGCTGTGAAATCTCCATCCTTGGAGATTTTTAAGAGCAGGTTAGACAAACACCTGTCAAGGATGGTCTAGATAATACTTAATCCTGCTATGAGTGCAGGGGACAGGACTAGATGACCTCCTGTGTCTCCTTCCAGTCCTACAATTCTGTGCTTCTATAAAAGTGTACCATCTCTTCCATACATGATACTTGTCAAATGTTTGCTCATTCAGAGCAAGCAATGCTCACTCCCCCGTTACCATGAAGAGATTTTAGCCTGACTTTATAAAACAAACAGACATGAACCTCAGGACAAGTGCTCCAGTGAAGGTTTGGGAGGAGAAAAGCCACAAACATGCAGCCCTGCTTTCAAAGCTGTAATGAGCTCAGCTGGAAGAGAGCAAAATAGTATCACCTTCCTTCACTCCCCATGGACATGAAGAGAAATGACAGTACAAGGACTTGGTATTTTCCATATTTACATTTTTTTAAAATCTCCATGAACATCCTCCCCTAACTTGTCAGTTTTGCAGTCCAAAACCTGTATGTCACCTAGTAATGCAAACTTAATATTCAATAAAATCCATTTAACTCAGTGCTAAATTGTGAGGTCCCATGTAGACATAGTGATGGGTGTTGGGACTTTTAACTTAAGATGTGACAGGCACATAGAAGTGTACACAATAGACATTTCATTTTACTGAAGTCAAAGTCAGATTTCCCCCCCTTCACCTTTGACAATTCTTTAGTTCCCAGGAAACTGAATGGCATCAAAACTTTATTGCACAAAGCAGCAGCGATGAGTATATCAGCTCCTCCTGCACCCAGAGCCAGACATGCAACAGTGAGACTAGTCCCAGACTTTTAGTCACACAAGTAAAATTAAACCTTTTCTGTTCTTAATTTCAGATTATGTATGCCCTATTGTGCGTTTTATGGGAATGATTTAAGCAATAATGATAAGAAGGAGGGAGTGCTTGACAGCCAGTGACTCAGGGAGACTCATCATATATGGCCTTGGCTACACTGGCAATTCACAGCGCTGCACTTGCTGCGCTCAGGGGTGTGAAAAAACCACCCCCCCCCCCCCAGCGCAGCGAGTGCAGTGCTGTAAAGCGCCAGTGTAATCAGCGCCTGCAGCGCTGCACGCTCGCTCGCAGCACTACACTCGCGCTTTACAGCGCTGCCGCGAGCGTAGCCAAGGCCATAGAGAGCCAGTAACCAAAAACCAGAGGAGGAAGAGAAAAACGGTCCACTCCCAGAGACCAACAACTGGACAACCAGTGTGACAGGAGATGGACGCTGAAGCATCCCAAAAGATGAGTGCAAGAGAAGCGTTTCCTCAAACTCCCAGAAATGGCACCGCCCTTTCCATTAAGAAGCGGGCAGGAAAAGCTGCGCCTAGCCCTGGGAGAAAGGAGACACACCAGCCGGGACAATGACAAGAGGACACAGAGGCTAGAGCCCACGTAGACGGTGCTGCTCAGCCCCAGGCACGTGCCCGGTGACACCCCCGGGACAGACTGGCGGGATGTGCTCACACGGGCACGTCTCGTCCCGCCCGTCAAGGTCTCCACCTACCCCCCTCGGGCTGAGGAGACGCGGTTCCAAGCCGAGGCGGTTACCCAGGCCGCTCAGCGGGTCACGTCGCGCGCTCCAGGCTGAACGCCCGTTGCCGGGGCACAGCTCGGCGAAGCCAGCACGCCGGGGCTCCGCCTGTCCCAACCGGGCTCCGAGGGACGCCCGCCCTCGATCACTCGCCAGCCAGAGGCGGCTCCGGGCAGTGAGCCCTAGAGACCCGCGGACACAGCTCCGTGGCGGGGCGGTCTGAACACTGCTCCCCGCATCAAGCCAGCCCGCGCCTCCGCACCCCTACCTGTCAGGGACCCTGCACCGCCCGCAGCGCACGCCAAGGCTGGGGCCGCGCGGCCAGTACCGGCGGGCAGGGCACCAGCCTCACCCCGCGGCGCCGACTCAGCCGAGAGACGCTCAGAGCGGGCCCTGGGGGGACACAGCGGCACCCCCTGACCCCGAACCCGCGTCCCCGCTGGGCTAATCCCGCCCCCGCACTCACCCACAGCAGCTCCTCTCAGCGCTGCAGCCGCCTCGGCCTGTTGGAAAAGGTGGGACAAAGGAACATCAGGATAATTAATTATTCATGAGCAGGCGAGGCAGCGGCGAGTTTACAGGCTGACGTGACGTGTGACCGACGTAACAGTCCCTACCTCTTTGCAGAGGCCCGCCCCGCCTTCAGCCCGTGGATCCGGAGCGTTCCACTTATCGTCTCTGGCACTGCGGCTACTGGATGGCACGTCCTCCCTTGCCCCAGCCAACACGCTGGCCCTGATTGTCACCATTAATGAGTGCCCAGAGTTCCCTGTCAGAGCTGGCGCCTCACTGCGGTGGGTACTAAACACACATCCTAAAATAAAGTCTCTTTCCTTTTCTGTTCTACCACCACCCCCAAGCTCACAGAATCATATCCTTATATGATTTTGTCACTGAGGTCACAAATCCTATGACTGTAAGAGACCTCTGTGACTTCTTCAGCTTCAGCTGTGCGCCTCAGGGCAGTGGGCTGGAACTGTCAGCCCCCAGGAGGTGGCAGGGCCCCATGGCTGCAGCAGGGGCTGGAGCTGTCAGTCCCTCCCTGCCTCAGCGCTTGGGCTTCAGTCTCCCCCCCAGCAGTCAGCCCTCCTGCTTCCCCCACCCCTCCATTATTTGTAGTAAAAATCACAGACATCGTGGGGTTCCATGAATTTTTGTTTATTGCCCATGACCTATCTGTGACATTTACTAAAAACAACTGACAAAATCATCTTAACCTTAGCAATGTAGGGCTGGAAGGGACCTTGAGTGGTCATCAAGTCCAGCCCCCTGCACTGGGGCAGAACCAACTAACCTAGATCAGCCCTGCCCTGACAGGTGTTTGTCCAAACTGTTTTCCATAGCTTCCCTTGGAAGCTTATGCCAGAGCTTAACTGCCTTTACAGCTAGAAAGTTTTCCTAATATCTAACCTAAACCTCCCTTACTGCAGATTAAGCCCATTACCTCTTGTTCTACCTTCAGTGGAAAGACAAGTGATCACTGTCTTCTTTATAACAGCCCTTCGCATATTTGAAGACTGTTTTCAGGTGCCTCCTCAGTTTTTTTTTTCTCAAGCCTAAACATGCCCACTTTCTTTAACCTTTCCTCAGAGCAGGGCTGCCCAGAGGATTCAGGGGGCCTGGGGTCTTTGGCAGCGGGTCCCGGGGCAGAAGGACCCCCCGCCGCAGGTCTTCGGGGCACTTCGGCGTGGAAGGACCCCCGCCGCCGAATTGCCGCCAAAGACCCAGAGCGGAAGAAGCTCCAGGGGCCTGGGGCCCCCGGAGCAAGTGAAGGACCCTGCTCCAGGGGCCCTGAAAAACTCTTGTGGGGGCCCCTGCGGGGCCCGGGGCAAATTGCCCCACTTGTCCCCCCCAGGTGGCCCTGCCTCAGAGGTCAGGTTTTCTAAACCTTTTATTATTTTTGTTGCTCTCATCTAGACTCCAGTCTATCTACATCTTTCCTAAAATGTGGTGCCCAGAATTGGACACAACACACCAGCTGAGGCCTCACCAGTGCTGAGTAGAGCAGTACAATTGCCTCCCATGTTTTATGACACTAGTGTTAATACATCCCATTAGCCTTTTTTCACAACTACATCACACTGTTGACTCATACTCAATTTGCGATCCACTATACGCCCCCCCATCCTTTTCAGTAGTACTACCACCCAGCCAGTTATTCCCCATTTTGAAGTTGTGCATTTGATTTGTCCTTCCTTAGTGTAGTACTTTGCATTTGTCTTTATTGAATTTCAACTTGTTGATTTCAGATCACTTCTCCAATTTATCAAGGTCATTCTGAATTCTAATCCTCCCCTTCAAAGTGCTTGCAGCTCATCCCAGCTTGGTGTCACCTGCAAATAAATAAGCATACTTGCCACTTCATTATCCAAGTCATTAATGAAATATTGAATAGTACCAGACACAGGACTGACCCCAGAGGGATCCCACTAGACACACTCTCCCAGTTGAACAGCGAACCATTGATAACTACTCTTTGAGTATAGCCTTTCAAGACATTGTGCACCCACCTTATAGTAATTTCATCTCGACCACATTTCCCTAGTTTGTTTATGAGAATGTCATATGGGATTGTGCAAAAAGCCTTACTAAAATGAAGATATAGGACGTCTACTGCTTCCCCCCATCCACTAGGCCAGTAACCCTGTCAAAGAAGGAAATTAAGTTGGTTTGGAATGATTTGTTCCCACAAATCTATGATGGCTAGTCCTTATAAGCCTATTATTTTCCAGGTGCTTACAAACTGATTGTTTAATAATTTTTTCCAGTATCTTTCCAGGTATCAAAGTTAGTCTGATTACTTTATAATTCCCTGGGTCCTCTTTTTCCCCCTTTTTGAAGCTAGGTACTATCTCTTCTGGGGGGACCTCACATGTCCTCCAGGCACAGTTGCCAACTTTCACAATAAGCCAAAAAGCAAGCTAATCCCATTTCAAAACATGGCCAAAACAAGCCAATCCTTAAGAATCCCAACACTCTATGTGATTAGATTCCCCCCGGCGTGCAGTCTGGGACTGTGTTGGGATCGCTGTGCACCCCGACTCTCTCCCCCGCTTTCCCCTACTTGCACCTTGTCCCTGCTTGCCGGGAGCCGATCAAAAAAAAGAAGCAACAAGCTACAAGCCAAAAACTAGCCAACAAGCAATTCACAGGCCAATTAAGCAAAAAACAAGCCCAATTTCTGCATTGTTTGGTTTGGTTTGGTTTGGTTTTTTTGTGGGTTTGGCATGTTTGCCTCCAGGAGTTCTCAAACAGTTCTGAGATTGCTTCAGCTAGTACCTTAAGTACCCTAGGATGAATTTCATCACGACCTGCTGACTTAAGTACATCTAACTTATCTAAATAGTCTTTATCCTGTTTTTTCCCTATTTTGGCTCATGGTCCTTCCTCTTGCTAATATTAATTGTATTGAGTCACCATTACCCATTTTAGTGAAGACTGAAGTAAGATAGGCATTAAACACCTCAGCTTTCTTGATGCATCCATTATTAGCGCTCCTTCCCTTTTAAGTAGAGGAACCTACACTTTCCTTTGTCTTTCTCTTGCTCCTAATGTATTTAAAGAACTTCTTATTGCCTTTTATGGCCCTTGCTAAGTTAACTCATTTAGTGCCTTAGGCTTTCTGATTTTGTTCCTACAGGCTTGTGCTATTCTTTTGTATATCTCCTTAGCAATTTGTCAATGTTTCCATTTTTTGTAGGATTTCTTTTTGATTTTCAGGTCATTAAAGCACTCCTGATGGAACCATATTGACCTCTTAATAGTCTTCCTGTCTTTCCTTCACAGCAGGATAGTTTGCCGTTGTGCCTTTAATGTTGTCTCCTTGAGAACCAGCTAGCTGTCCTGTACTCCTTTTTCCCTTAGATTTCCCCTCCCCATGGGACTTTATCTACCAGTGATTTGAGTGAATTTGCTAAAGGAAGCTTTTTTGAAATCCATCAGCCTTATTCTGCTGCTCTCACTCCTTCCTTTCCTTAGAATAATGAAATCTATAATTTCAGGGTCACTTTAACTCAAATTGCCTTCCACTTTCAGATTCGCTACCAATTTCTCCCTGTTCCTCAGAGTCAAGTCTAAAATGACTGTCCCCCCTGGTTACTTCCTCCACTTTCTGGAACAAAACATTATCCACAATAGATTCCAAGAACTTACTGGAAATTTTGTTTTTTTCCCATATTACATTTCCAGCAGATTTCTGGGTAGTTAAAATCCCGCATTATTACTAGGTTTTGTGTTTTGGATATTTCTGGAATCCTCTGCCCTTAGTGAATTCCTTGGCCCCATGGTTCTCTGCCCCCTGGAAGAATGCTTCCTCTCTCAAGCTCCTCATCAGCCTCCCAGGGAAAATCCTTTCCCTTCCCCCCACTGATTTTAAACATATTAAAACCGTAGTTCACAATCTGTGGTCCTTGCAGGGCACCCACACAGAATTGGCTGGTTACATGCTGTTGGTTCTTCTTTTTGTCAGCTCTTATATTCCATTAGAGGAAACTAAAAATAAACAAACACTGAAGGTGATTTGTAAGAAATTTCGTCAGTTGCCCTGGAGATTATATATGATTTTGAATGACAAGTCTGTTTTCTAGCAAATATAGGGGGATGAGGGAAAGGAGAGGGGCAGACAATCGTGCATGGGAGGTGGTGAAGGTTGCTAACAGACCAGGTAGATACAGATCAGGATTTGCCATTTTACTCTCCCTGACGCTCAGTTACTCAGTGACACCAGCCATCCTTTGTTCTGTATCCAGGTTACATGTCCCTCTCTCATGGATAAGCCTTGAGTGTGTGAGGGGGAAGGTGTGGTGAAGAGGGTTTAAAAATCAGGATTCAACCTTGACTATGGAAAGACTACTGCTGTCTCTCATGGACAAGCTGTTGCTCAGATCTGAGCTGCACTAAATAAATTCTGGCTGCATAGACTAACTGGGGCAGCTAGCCTCAGCCTGAGAACAAACACTAATTCCTGCCTTAGTTTCCCTATAAATGCCACCAAATGGCAGACAACTCCAGAATGCGGTACTGTTCCTGTTCCCTTCCCCAAGTGCAGTTCATGTCCAGCTAGCCAAGGAGTCTCAGAGGAGGAATTCATCAAACAGGGAGTTGGGTAGGGCAAATCTATTTCTCCTGCTGTTTATAAGGAACCAGAAGTAGGGTGACCAGACACCCCATTTTTAAAGGGACAGTCCTGTATTTAAGCCCTCCTGCAAGTGTCCTGACTTCTTCTTTAAAACTGTCAAATTGTTCCGTATTTTCTGTCTCCTCCCATCAGTACTGGCTGCTGTCCAGATCCCTGCTTGCCAGCCGCCCACTCACCAGCGGTGAGTGGGAGGGTCCAGTGGCCGATGATGGGGGTGGGTATGCAAGGCTGGTGGCGTGGTGAAGATGCAGCATGTGGGGCTGGCCGCTCCTCCACCGGTCCGTCAGCGCAGCCCCTGCTGCATGCCAGCTCTCGGCCAGCAGGGCCCCATCCCATTTCCAGCTGGCACTGGCTGTGCTCTGCGAGCTGTGGTATCTGGTGAGTGCAGGCAGGTGCCAGGTGGCAGCCGGTTACATGTCTCCTCTGCCGCCCCCCCCCCATTGGTCCTTATGTGCTACCCCTTTCCACTGTCTTCTCTGTGCTTTGCCCCTCTGTCCCCACTCCAGCCCCGCTGCTCCTCCATATCCCCTCCTGTGGGGAGCATCCCATTCCCAGCACTGTGTGGAGAACCAGCCCCTGGTGGGAGTGCTCAGCTCACCAACAGCCCGGCTGGCAGGCTCCTTCCTTCCCCCACTGCCTCTGGCTGGCCCAGCACCCCGGGAAAGCCCCAAACCCTCTGGCCTGGGGTGCTGGGCAGGAGAAGCCAGAGCCCCGCACAGCGCTGGCACAGAGAAGCCTCTCTGCCTCTCAGCTAAGCTGTGGAGTGGTGGGGAAAAGAAGTGGTTTCCAGCCTCTTCATGACCCGAACCTGCAGGCTCCACAGCAGCCCCTGGGGTAGGGGCTTAGCATCCTCTTCACCTGTGCCGCCCCGGGGTCCTGCCCCCAGGGAGCACGGGGCTGCCCCGTCCCCTAGGCACTCTCCCCTGCTGAGCCACCTCTCTGGCCAGGTTCACTGAAGCCCCTGCAGTCAGGTTCCCTGAGCTCTTGTGCACCATGCATCCTGAGAGCTTAACACCTTCTTGGCCTCACTGTAGCCAGGGAACAGGAGGCGGCTGGGTTATGTCAGTGGCCAGCAGCAGCCTGGAGGTGTTAGCTGCCTTTGGCATGAAGGGATAAGCTTCCAGCCACATGGGGTGGGAGGAAGGAGAGATGAGCTCCGCAAAGACATGGGCCAGGTCATCCTTTCCCCACCTCCTGCTCCCCTGTGGCTGGAAGCAGCTCCCATCCCTTTCCTCCCGCACAGTGCCAAAAGAGTGCTGCTGGCCACATTCTGGTGTGAACCCTGGCAGAAATCTGGAAGAGGGGCATGTTACCCTGAATGCCCTCCCCCATGTGTTGCCTTGGGAAGACGTGGCACCAGGTACTAGGAGAGGCAGGTCAGTCCCGGGGGCCCAGCCAGGCATGGAAGGCAGAGAGCCCTGGGTAGGGAGGGTTGGGTCGGTCAGTCACCCACCCCCTGTGTGAGAGAGGTGAATGGGAGTGTGTATGTGTCACCTCTCCCAGTGTGAACCCTAAAGCCTTAAAGATAAGAAGGTAAATATAAAGAATCCAACTACTCAGTATTTCTTTTTAACGGGAGTTCAGTCAACTTGATGTTAATTTGAACATTTGTACTGCATAGTTCTGATTGATTGCCATTGAACTCGCTTGAATATGAGTAATTTTACCAGGTGTCCCTTATTCATAGGGAAATATGGTCACTCTAACCAGAAGCAAGAGGCCAGTTCTCATTTTCCAGCTCAGTCTGGAGGCACTGACGATCAGTGTGTAATGGGAACACATGGAGTAATGTTCTGCCGCTCTGCCACTATTCAAACAGCAAGCAGCATGGTTTGGGTTGAAGCTAGACACATTCAGACTGAAAAATAAGCCCCAGCCCAGGCAGGCTGCTTCTCTCCTGGGAAGCCGGCTAGGGCTGGGGCTGGGGCTGGGGCTGGGGCTAGGGTGGTTGGGACTTCTTGGGAAGGCTGGGGCTGTGCCTCCCAGCACTCCAGGGCTGCGGGGGAGGGAGACTGTGTGCCGCCTGCCTGCTCAGTGCTCCGGGGCTGTGAGGGGGGAGAACTGCCTGCTTCCCACCGGGCACTCTGGGGCTGGAGACACTCGGGTGACCCGGGGATGGGAGGAGGGGGCTGGCAGCCACGGCGGGGGGTGGGGGGACGACTCTGGGCTTCAGGTAGGCCAGGGGGCAGGAGGGGTAGGCCGGAGGCCAGCTTCCCCGAGCCCGTGGTTCACCCAACACCCATGATGTCAGCTCTTACTGATTTCTCTGGGTAATGGGGAACCTCATGCTGCTTCCCTCACTATATTGCCTTTCATCACAACACTGGTTTAAGCTTCATTCCCCTAGATCACTGATTTCAGCACCAGTGATTGATAAGCAGAAACAAGGACTACAAATTGAGTCTAATCAACTCTGTCTTTAAACACTGGAGAAAAAAGATATCTAGGACACTTTAAACAGCAGCCACACCACCACATAGGATCACTTGTCCCCATCCTCTCTGATGTGGCTTGCTTGCCTATACAGTAACTCCTTGCTTACTGTTGTAGTTATGTTCCTGAAAAATGCTACTTTAAGCAAAATGATGTTAAGCTAATCCAATTTCCCCATAAGAATTAATGTAAATAGGGGGGGGTTGGGTTCCAGGGAATTTTTTTTCACCAGACAAGACTATATTTTATTATATACACAGTATAAGTTTTAAACAAACAATTTAATACTGTACACAGCAATGATGATGGTGAAGCTTGTTTGAGGTGGTGGAGTCAGAGGGTGAAAGAGGATGGAATATTTCCCAGGGAATGCCTTACTGCTAAATCAGAGGTTCTCAAACTGGGGGTTGGGACCCCTCAGGGGGTCGCGAGGTCATTACATGGGGGGGGGTCGCAAGCTGCCAACCTCCACCCCAAACCCCGCTTGCCTCCAGCATTTATAATGGTGTTTAATATATTAAAAAGTGTGTTTAATTTATTGGGGAGGAGGGTCGTACTCAGAGGCTTGCGATGTGAAAGGGGTCACCAGTAAAAAAGTTTAAGACCCATTGTGCTAAATGATGAAATAGCACTCAGCTGAGCCCTCAAAGGTTAACATACTGCTGTTAATGTAGCCTCACACTCTACAAGGCAACACAAATGAGGGAGGAGACATAGCATGGCAGAGAGAGACAGAGAATCACACCATATATATGTATGTTTTGTGTGTGTGTGAGAGAGAGAGAGAGAGAGAGAGACAGACAGACACACACACACCATGTGAGAGAGAGAGACACGCATTGCCCCTTTAAGTACACTGACCCCTCTCTAAGTACATTGCCTTTTTAAGTAGATCAGCAAGTTGAGACAGCAGCTGCTGCCAGCAAGCTCCCTCCGTCCTGAGCCCTGTCTTGTTCCCCCCAACCCTGTTCTATGGAGATGGGGTACAGGAGCGGGGGAAGGGGGACACCCTGACATTAGCACCCCTCTTCCCCCCACCCTTGCACAGCAAGCAGGAGGTTCCAAGGCAGAGGGCAGGAGCAGCACACAGCAGTGGTGGGAGGGACAGCTGAACTGCCTGGCAATTGATAGCCTTCTGGGCAGCTGCTGCACAGGGAACTTAGGGGAGTGGGGAGCTGATAGTGGGGCTGCTGGTCCACCCTGGTTCCAAGCCCCCACCAGCTATGATCCAACGGGCTGCTCTTTCTGCAAGCAGTGGACAAAGCAGGCGGCTGCCCAAACAACATTATAATGGAGCATTGCACAACTTTAAACGAGCATGTTCTCTAATTGATCAGCAACATAACAACGAAACAACATTAACTGGAACGACGTTAAGTGAGGAATTACTGTATATATCTCTTTCCTTATGGGTTTCTTATTTTTTATGGGTTTATTTGTTTTATTATAATAGGTTATTATAGGTTTATATTAGAATATTTTTGGCTGCAATGCAAGGGACCTACAGGCCACATCTTGTACATTGAGCTAAGGCAAAGTTAGCGTACATAGGTGTGGGACCTTTCACCTAGATAGGTGGTGATGAACTAAAGCCTAAGGTCCATATATGGCTGTGGCCTATAACACAGATAGATGAAGGATGCGTTGAAGCAGGTTGGTATAAAGGGACTTCCTAAATTCATGCCCTCTTTAAACTTAACAGATACACGACAAAGAACTTGGAAAGAACCGAAATAACCAGTTAGTCCAGAAATAACAGATGTGAGAATGAGCTAAAGTCATTAATATGTATGTATATGTCATCAGTATGTACAAACATACCAGCCTATGGAGTAAGTATACCCCAACATTTCTGTGGGTGAGGAAACTAAGTTTGGACATAGAAGGTTCAAGCTCTGTAAGAGGGGTGACCCATCATGTCACGGAGGCTTCTCCATTCTTAGTTCTTTGTTTATTATCATTTTGTCTATTAGTCTGTTAGGTCTTAATTGTAAACTTTAAGTCAGTGAGTTAAGTAAAACTCTAAGTTAGCTTCTTTAGTCATCTATAGCTCTTTGCTTTTTAGCTTCTCCTAAACTCTGCACCTCCCACTCAAGAATTGAGGAACCTGGACCTGAACTTTCTTGGCATGCCAGAGGCGAGGCTGATATTTTGTCTCTTACCACCAGGTTATCAAGGAAGGGTGTGAGTATATTAATCAAAAGCTTTATACTATATAATATCACATGTATCTCTAAAACACTATTATTGCCTTTGTAACAATGATTATTTTACCATTTGATTACTATTTGATTACTATTCCACTTACCTCAATAAAAGTCTTTAAGGCTACATTTGTCTCAGTGTGAGCATCCTTGTCAGACATACCGAGAGTCCCTGTAAACTCTGTGTAGCCTGATTCTGGGACAAGAACATTATTATCTTCTGATCAGATTAACTGGCAAGTCTCTAACCCATATTATCTAAAATAATAATATTAACCTCCTTAAATCAGGCAACACTGACTTTTACTTGAATTTGGCATCACTACCCCCTGCCCTGTGAGTGAAGTTTAATACAGGATGCCCCCTGTTGCAATTATTAATAATATTAGAAATTATGTATATGGGAAACCACCAGACACTAATTTTATATTAAATTCCTTTATGGAGTCCAAAAGCCAAATGGACTTTTATACAATTGCTCTAAACATGCCTAACAGCCTAAAAATAAGTAGTCTCTACACTCAAACAGTCACAAAACATTTATAAGTATGTGATTAAGATACTTACAAACAGGCAAAAGGTAGTAGTGCTTAGACCCATATTGGTCCGCTCCAATGTGATCAGGCAGGTATTAGCAATGAACCCCTTAAGAGTTTATTGTTTTATACCCTTCAACAAATAAGTAATGTCACTACCAAGTACTGACTTCAGCTGAAAATCAGTTTGAGACAGTTCACCCTTAATTCCAGTTTTAATCCAGATAAGATTTACAATCTCCTTTCTCCCCAAGGCCCTTCCTCCCCTGCTTCATGCTAACCAAAAGTTTTCCCATTGCACCTGGGTTCACATAAGAAGGGTCATGTTGGCTCATTTTACAGCCATCTGCAATCATCCCTGTCGGTGAGAGGCCTTTTTTTTAGTAACCTCTCCTTATCTCATCAGTTATTCTTTGAACCAGATATCCTCCCAACATCATTCCTTCTGGCCTTTATACTGTAACTCATTAGTTTCAAGGCCTTCCTTCTACTTGCTAGTCAGGACCTTTCTTTACAATATATATATTTCCTTAAGCAAACTTAAGCTAACTCTAATTCTTTAATCTCATATTTATCCTACAGCCCTCCCCACAATTAGGTAGGGTTGCTAAACTTTGTAACTGCACAAAACTGAACACCCTTGCCCTGCCCTGAGGCCCACCCCTTCCCCGCCCCTTGTCTGAGGCCATGCCCCCCACTCACTCCAGCCCCCCTCCCTGCATTGCTCGCTCTCCCCCACCCTCACTCACTTTCACTGCGCTGGGGCAGGGGGTTGGGGTGCAGGAAAGGGTGAGAGCTTCAGCTGGGGGTTCGGGCTCTGGGTTGGGGCTGGGAATGAGGGTTTTGGGGTGCAGGAGGGGGCTCCGGGCTGGGGTAGGGAGTTGGCGTGCAGGAGGTGGTGCAGGGTGTGGGTGGGAGTTAGGGTGCGGGAGGGGGTTCTGACCTGGGGCAGGGGGTTGAGGTGTGGGGTCTGAGAGGGAGTTAGGGTGTGGGAGGGAGTTTCGACCTGGGTCAGGGGGTTCAGAGTCAAGGAGGGATTTAGGGTGTGGGAGAGAGTTCTGACCTAGGGGCCTGCTGGCCACTTCTGGGGCGCAGCACGGAGCCAGGACAGGCAGGGAGCCCGCCTTAGCCCCGCTGCGCTGCTGACCAGGAGCCCCCCAAAGTAAGCCTGTGCCCCAACCCTGAGCCCCCCCAAACCCAGAGACATCTCCTGCATCCCAAACCCCTCATCCCCGGCCCCACCCCAGAGCCCACACCTCCAGCCCAGGGCCTGTACCCCCTCCTGCACCCCAACCCCCTGTCCTGAGCCCTGAGCCCCCCCAAACCCGGAGCCCCCTCCTGCACTCCAGAGCGCACACCCCCAGCCCAGAGCCCTTGCCCCCTCCTGCACCTCAACCCCCTGCCTCAACCTGCAGCTCCCTTCCACATTCCAAATCCCTTGGCCCCACCTCCCAGCCTGGAACCCCTTCCTATACTCCAAACCCTTCATCCCTAACCCGAGCCCTCACCCCCTCCTGCACCCCAACTCCCCGCCCGGAGCCCCCTCCTACACCCTGAAACCCTCATTTCTGGCCCCACCTCAGAGCCAGCACCCTCATTTAGAGCCCTCACCCCCTCCCGCACCCCAACCCTCTGCCCCAGCCCAGTGAAAGTGAGTTAGGGTGGGGGAGAGCAAGCCCCTGAAGGGGAATGTAGAGAGTGGTGGGGTGGGGCCTTGGGGCAGGGGTGCTGCTAAGGTCTTTGATTTTGTGGGATTAGAGAGTTGGTAACCCTAGCAGACACCCCAAACTGGTGGTGTGTTCTATAATTAGATTTCACCAACCCAGTAACACGTGTGAACTCCTAGATCACTAACAGTCTTACCATGGAGTCACAGACAGTCCCCTTGGGCTCTCTAGTCTATCTTGCCAGCTACAGATGCACCACCTTTAAACCGCAAATGAACAGGGGATAGGGATATTTTCACTGTTAACTTATGAAGTAACCATGGGATGTTATCTGAGTTCTCCCACTTAGTGTTTTAATCAGTGCCACGCTAATTACACTTAGACCCAAATTTTCTAAATGGCAGCCTCCCTTTTGCAGGTACCATGTGCAAAAGTGCTAGCGTGCAGCTGCACATGCAGTTGAATAATGAGGAGAGACAATTTCTTTCCCACCAAAACTGAAGGAATTTTCAAATCTTCTGATGTGCCACATCCTACCCAGGCCTTTCATTTTAGACTCATTACAGGAATAGTAGAGTGTCCATGTTTTGTGACACTCCATGTGTGGCATTTAAGGCAAACGATTTAATGAGATATCTGGTAAATATCAAACTAATTTGCCTATAACTAAACTAATCTTAACAAAATCCTGTAGATTTAGTGCTGGTGAAAGCATTATCATCCCTTGTTTGTAGATGGGGAACTAAGATACAGTATAATTAATACCAATATCATAGCCCATCATAGAGCTGAACATACATCTCCTGAACTGTAGCTCACAGAACCTTAACCACAAGCACCCCCCAGCCCTTTCTTTTAAATATGGTTTTAGCTAGAACACCTCAGTGTGGCTGCCTTGTTCTTTAAATACACGCTCACATATTTTTCCCCAACATGTTTGAACTGAGGTTCTTCAGAACCACAACACACACTGCTTCCACTTGTTCTAGAGCAGTAACTGGCTGGACATTGTGTGCGGATGCCAGACTCTCGCCTCCAAAAACAAGTCGTCTACTCTCAGCTCACCCATGGTCAGAGATCCCATGGTGGTCAGAGGAAATGCCAAAAAGACAAACTGAAAGCGTATCTGTCAAGGCTGATTCCCCACTCTGGCACTTTGAGTGCAGAAGGTGGAGGCCTGCAAGGATTTTAAAAATTAATACTGGCCACTCCAGGCTTTTATTAAATTCCCAACGTTACAGCTTTTCTCTGACCTTGGATGGGTAGATGCTGCCACCACCCAAGTGCAAAAATCCCTTTGAGAACCCAGGAAGGTGCACTTGGAAATTCCTTCCTGTGGGGTACTCTCAAGCCCTTTCACCCCCCCCACACTTCCTCCAGGGAAGAGCTGAAAAAGAAAACAAAGGAAATCAACTGTTGCCACCAGCTAATTAAACGACATGTGTACAAACCTCTTAGGACACAGAACTCCAATCCTGTTCTTAAAAAAGGTACGTTTTATTTAAAAAAATCTGAAAACTCAGGCTATTGATAGATTTAAAAAGAGCAAATACAAAAATTAAGAATCAAGAATAGCTTTCTTGATGGTCAGTGTAAAGGTTACAAGCAAAACAAAAGCACCTGGGGTTAGCACAGAGGAATCCACAAGACATAAAGAAATAAAAGAAATAAACCTCATCCCATCTTCCTAGACATTTCCATATGTGTACTTACATATCTGGGGTTTAAAATGAGTAGTTTCTAGGTATAATCTTTGATTTTTCATACCTGGCCCAAGCTCTTACCGCATAGCTGCAGTGTCCCTTCTCTCCAGGAGAACAACACAGACAGACAAAGGGGAAGTTTTCCCCCCAATTTTAAAAAGTTTTAGCCTTCCCATTGGCTCTTTTGGTCAGGTGCCCACTCCCTTCCTTTTACCTATGCAGGGAGACTTTTAACCCTTTACAGGTAAAGCAAGTAGAGAACAACTACTAAGAGGGGTTTTATAGTTAACTGTCTGGCTGGATGTCAATAAAAGGAAGCTCCCCCCCCTTTTCATTTATCACAGTATGTTAAGAAAAATCATGTGGACATCACAAGCTGGGAGAAGCGAACCACCAACCAACCTGAATGGCGCCACATCCTCCATCAGGCAGTAGCCTGCTTTGAAGAGAAGTGCCTTGCCCTCAAAGCTGAAAATAGAGAGAGAAGGAAGGAAAAAGAAGGAACTTTCTCCCACAGACAATTGACCTGCCAGGAAATGTCTGTACCTACTGCGGGTGGATCTGTGGTTCCAGGATCGGACTCCTGAGTCATCTCAGGAGGACCCATATATAAATCTGTGGTAGAGATCATCCTCGAATCAAGGGATTGCCGATGATGATGATAGGTTTAGCATGCTATTAGACATCACGTGGACCACCCACTAGAGAAGGGCATGACCCACCTTGTCAGTGGGGCACACAGTTATTTGTGAGACAGCATTGGAATGCTGGAGATCAGGATTCCTGGATTCTATTCCTGGCTCTGGATAGGCAAGAGATGTGTCATGTTCTGTTTCATGCCTGAAGACAGAGGATGTTCTGTGCATGAAGGTGGAGGAAAAAGGAGTAGGGAGGCGATTTTACTTATGTATACTGCAATGGTGAGACTGATACTGGAATTCTGCATACATTTTTGCCTTCCACACTTCAAAAGGATGTTGAAAAATCATACAAGAGTTATCTGAGCTCTGGAAAACATGCCCTATAGTGAGAAATTAAAGAAGATCAATCTATTTAGTTTATCCAAGAGAGGGTTAAGAGCTGACTGAATCACAGTCTACAAATACTTACATAGGGAAGAGATTTCTGATAGTAGATGACTCTTTAATCTGTTATGTTCACAATATACAAATTGAGAAGCTGAAGTATTTTATGTTTTTATCCTTCTGGAAGGTTGCAACGTAAAACACTACTTTATTTCTTAAGATCCAGAATTTTCACACACCAGAACCAACACCATGTTGCACCCTAAGGCAGAGAGGCCCAACTCCCCCCACCTTGCTCTAGGTCAGCGATTCTCAAACTGTGGGATGGGACCCCAAAGTGAGTTGTGACCCCATTTTAATGGGGTCACCATGGCTGTCATTAGACTTGCTGGGGTCTGGGGCCGGGACCAAAGCCCGAGCTGCACCACCTTCGACAATGGGGCTAAGGCTACAGGCCCCCTGGGGTCATGTAGTAACTTTTGTTGTCAGAAGGGGGTCACGGTGCAATGAAGTTTGAGAACCCCTGCTCTAGGTCAGGGCCACCCAGAGGATTCAAGGGGGGCCTGGGGCAAAGCAATTTTGGGGGGCCCTTTCATAAAAAATAAGTTGCAATACTATAGTAACATGTATTTGGAAATGTAAAAAATAACCAGTGAAATACATTCAAAAATTAATTTTTAATAATTTGAAAATACACGAAATACATTATTTAAAAACATTAAATGCTTTAATGGTATGTATACATTTACAATTACATAATGGGCTGTCGCTGGGTGATGGTTGGTGCCAATGGGCTGTCGCTGCATGGGGGTGGCACTACTGTGGCCCGGGGCTGGGTGGGGAGCTGGGGTCTGGGTTGGGGGGTGCCCGGCTCAGAGGGGCTGGGCTCGGAGCTGGGGGACAGAGCTGCAGGGGGGAGGGGGATTCCCGGCTCAGAGGGGCTGGCTCGGAGCTGAGGGTCAGGGGTGTGGGGGATGGGCTCGGGGGGTGCCCAGCTCAGAGAGGCTGGGCTCAGAGCTAGGGGTCAGGGCTGTGGGAGATGGGCTTGGGGGGGTGTCTGGCTCAGAGGGGCTGGGCTCGGAGCTGGGGGTCAGGGCTGTGAGGGCAGGGGTCAGGAGGGTGTCCGGCTCAGAGGGACTGGGCTTGGAGCTGGGGGTCAGGGCTGTGAGGGCAGGGGTCAGGAGGGTGTCCGGCTCAGAGGGGCTTACCATGCTGCTTACTCCCGCCTCTCCC